TACTTTGCCATTTAAGGTATTGGTACGCCCACGACAATGAGAGCGTGTTCAGCGAAAATGATTTACCCGGAGAAGAACCTGTACCAATGATTGGGACACGAGCAGACTTGGACGCTTTAATCGAAAGGCTGAGGCGTATAGACTACCACAATAACGCGTGGCAGCACAGGGACAATACCAAATTCCTTTTATATCGCGTCACCAATACGCGCTGGATCGTAAACAAAGTGGATGCACCTCTCGGAGCCCCCGTGATTTTACCAAATTACTTAAAAAATAAGCGATCCATAGTCGGTCTGACGTACGACCAGGCATTACACCGACCCTACCAGGATAACTTGTGCCTGTTTCGCTGCCTGGCTTTTCACCAGGCTCCCGGTGGCAGTACTAAACGGGAAATCCAATGGAAATTGCGCCATTTGAACATCGATCCATTAGTAAAAAGATGGCAAGATCATATGGATAAATCTCGGGTAGGGGCCGTTCAGAAAGCAGAACTTCCACTTTTTGAGTCTCTATTCGAGATCAATATAAACGTGTATGAACTAGACAGTGAAGGAGGAGCCACAATGTTCTACAAATCCATGGGGCGCCATAATGACACGATGTATCTCAACCATTTTGATGGACACCTGAGCTACATTAAAAACTTGGGCGCATACTCCGGGTCATTTCAATGTAGAAATTGTGGGACATTCTTCAAACAGACCAATAATCTTGAGAAGCACGAGAGACGATGTGAACAAGCCTCGAACTTTCTGTATCCGGGTGGTTACTATAAATCGCCGACCTCCCTGCACGATGATCTCGTCTCATTCGGCTTCATGGATCCTACAGAGCCAAGACGATTTTATGATTATGTGGCGACGTACGATATGGAATGTATTCTGAAAAAGGTACAAATCGCTTCTGGTAGTGGTAAATTAATCTGGACCGCGGAACACGTACCCATTTCTGTGTCTGTCTGCTCCAACATACCGGACTTCGAGCAACCCAAATGTTTCATCAACGCCGATTTAGATTTGCTCCTCGGTGAAATGTTTGAATATCTCAATCATTTACAAGGCAGAGCGGCTAGTGAGACAGAGAAACAATATGTCAGTATACTGTTAAAACTGAAAAACGATATCAGAGAATTAGAATCTCGGTGCCGTACAGAGAAAGATTGCGGCGATGATGACCAATCAGAGGATGAAGAATTGGCAAATGACCATGACGAGGCGCGGGAAACTAATGAGTTCGAGCCAGTGTCGGAGGAAATGCTCGAAGCATTGAAAAGGCCCAATACAGGAAGAGCTTTCTTTGAAAGGATTAGTGCCATCAATAACAAATACGAATTCAGAAATGGTACCAGCAGTCAAGTCTTGGACGATGCAGACGCCAGTGACTACGATGACGATGAAAATATGTCGGATGATGCGCTGCCCTTGACCTCTGAAAATTCAGAAAGGTCCGAGGATTGCCAGCATAACTTAAATGATGACGCTGACATGGCGACCAGCGAGCCCTCGCCTTTAATAGATGACGATGATGAGCAGACTAGTACAAGGCTGGCGCACGTACATAAAACTAGACTGACTGCATATAAGTCTCTATTAGACAGGCTCAAAAGTCATATAAATCAGCTGCCATGCCTCGGGTTCAACTCTCAAAAGTATGATATTAATTTAGTCAGACGAAAGCTCCTAAAACATATCATTGCTGACGAGATTAACCCATCTAAAATCTTCATAGTGAAGAAGGGCAGTGCTTATGCCAACATAACAACATCGAAGTTTCGTTTCCTGGATGTCTGCAATTTTCTCAGTCCTGGGACGAGCTACGATAAATTCCTGAAGGCTTATGGCAGTGCAGTATGCAAAAGCTACTTCCCGTATGAGTGGTTTGACGATGTCAGCAAGCTAAGTTATGAGCAATTGCCAAACTACGAGGCATTTCACTCTTCGCTCAAAGGACACAATACCCTCGAGGCCGAATATCTGGAGTATTCCAATCTCATTTCCCAAGGAAAGTCCAAGGAAGAGGTGCTCAGAGCGTTAAAACTGCCAGCTGTGCCAAAAACAGGTCCCGAGAATTACGAAGAACTGAAGACCGTCTGGCGCCAACGGGATATGAAGACATTCTCTGACTTTTTAAGGTTAGTGGAGACCAAATAAAACTCGAAGTAATTCAACCGTATTTTCTGAGATTGCACAGCACGTTTATATAGTGAATATGGATATGAATCCGATATATTTGTGTTGACCACTACGTTCTTTGTATTTTAGATTCTACAATGACAGAGATACATCCCCTTTTGTGGCGGCATTGGTAGAGATGTTGAAATACTACAGGGAACGCAGTGTTGACCTTTTTAAGGAGGCACAGTCAGTCCCTGGTGTAGCTCGCCTATTACTGATGAGAGGGAAGGAGCCGGGCTGCCATTTCAGTCTTTTCAAATCCAAGCACCAGGATATTTACAAGAAAATAAAGAACAACATTGTCGGAGGTAAGTACAGAAGAACCTGTCTTAGTGAACACTTCTCTTTAGTGGACACCTGTCTCCAGTGGACACCCTTCCTCACCACATGCTCAACTGACTTCTGTATAAATTAACTTTGTAATGTACACCTACCTGCAGTGAACACATTTTTATGACACCACCAGTGTTCACTACACATAGGTTTTACTGTAGTTAAAGGTGGATGTCATGCAATACTAGACTACACTCATCATTTTCTTATTTCCCAAATGAAAATTATGATTATTCCTTTCTTATTGCAGGACCATCTATAATTTTCCGTCGCTATCACAAAGCAGGGGAGACAAAAATAAGGTCTGGACCTAATAAGTGCTCCAAAATTGTTGGTTTTGATGCCAATGCACTGTGAGTATAAGTTAGTTTTAACCCTAGTAACATAACTATACTAGCCTAGTAGCAAGCGATATAAAGGAGGTTAAAGTAATGCAATCGCGTAATTTGTCTATTGTTTAGTTGATTATTTTACTCATGGTTGACTAATTCAAGAACCTAACCTACGGCAGTATCAATATTCTGGCTGTTCTTTCTAGATACCTGTGGGCTTTGTCTCAACCCCTACCAACTGGTCCATACACCGTCAGAAAGAAGGAAGATAATTTTAAAAAGGACAAATCTGAGCGCTACCTCAAAGAATGGTATTGGCTAGAGTGGTTGGCTCACTCGGAGCAAATAGAAATTCAACACAAATTCAATAGAGGACAGCGCAGAGTCGGTCCCTATCTCTTGGACGGTGTATGTGGAAAACGAGCGTTCGAATTCAATGGCTGTAAGTTTTTAACTGTTTTCAGTCATTTTTTAGTTTCATATATTAAGATTATTGTTTGCAAATTATTTTATAAGGTTTTGGTTTAGTATACAAACACTGTTGTCAGTACATAAATAAAGAAAAATGAACTAAATAATGAGACATATAAAACGTTTCTAACTGAACAATTAATGATAACAATTTTGATATTTTGAAAATTTAAATGTATATTCTCAACTAGCTATATCATTTATTTCAGGTTATTTCCATGGTCATGACTGCTGGATGACCAAGCATCTATCCTTGGAAGAACGCGAACGTGCTAAAGAAAAATGGGAGAGAACTCGACAACGCAGGCTATTCCTGGAAGAACAGGGCTACAAAGTCACTGACATTTTCGAATGTCAATATCATGCTGAGTTGAGATCTAACCCAGAGATGCGGCAGTTCATGGAGGATAGATTTGCGAGGCCATGCGACAAAAAAGAAACCATGACCGAGGATGAGATCATGGAAGCAGTCATGGATGGCACTCTGTTTGGAACTTTGGAAGTGGACATATCTGTCCCCGAACATCTCTATGGACACTTCAAGGAGATGGCTCCAATCTTCTGCACCAGTGAAGTGAACTTTGAAGATTTCGGGGAACATATGCAGCAGTATGTACGATCCAAAGGTTTATCGCAGAAACCCAGGAAATTGTTAATAGGTATGTTAAAACCATACATTCTTTTAATATTTATGCATTAATGCTAAAGAGAAATAAGTTAATTAAAAGAGACAAAAATACATCGATACATGAACGAATGTATATGTAAATGTAATGCTTTTCATTAATTCGGAAAACTATTTATCATTTTAGGCGGCATGAAAGCCAGGAAGATTTTGTTGGCCTCTGACTTGTTGAAATGGTACATCAAGCATGGACTAGAGGTAGGTAACTTGTAAAACTACGTTTACATTTTTACATGAACGTCTCAAATAGACTATTAATAGAATATTTTATCTTCTTATTTCTAAGTACAATTTATTATTTCATGCAGGTCACTGCTGTTCACTGCGTTGTGGAGTATGACGGAAAGGCATGCTTTGAGCAATTCGTAAATGACATCACGGCGGCGCGACTCCTTGGTGATAGAGACCCATCCCAAGCATGTCGGGGTGACACGTGCAAGTTGATAGGAAACAGGTAACAAAACGTAATTCAGTTTAAACAGATTTGTTATAATCGTCCATGTGACAGTGTGATAGTTACTGTTAGTTATGCAAACCAATTATTTGTATTCTTCTTGTAGTGCCTACGGCTCCTTGATTATGGATAAGCTTAAGCATATGCTCATCCGTATCCTTCAAGGTCTCGCTGAGGTGCAAAAGAAAGTGAATCAGAGAAGATTCCGTAAATTGGAAGAACTCGATGATTTAACCTTCGAACTGCAAATGGCCAAGTCGCGCATACGCCTTGATATGCCTCATCAAGTAGGATTCTTCATTCTGCAACATGCAAAACTCAGGTAAGACTCACACATACACACACACACACATTTCTATTGTATACTGTTATTTCTTCGAGCACTGTACCTATGTATTTATTATGTACTAGTTTATGTTTGTATTGCTTCATTGTGTAAATCAGAATGTTTGTATGTTGTAGAATGCTACAGTTCCACTATGATTTTCTGGACAAGTTTGTGGACAGGAGCATGTACGAACTCATGGAGATGGATACAGACAGGTATTTTTAGTATAATACTTTAATTTTAAAATACATTTTTGTAATTTCTTTTGTTTAAATCATAATTTTCAATTTTATTATCATGGTCAGTTGTGCAAGTAGTGCATGAATAGAGAATATCCTTCTTTTTGCAGCCTGTATTTTGCCCTGTCCGAAAATAGTCTGGAGGAATCCATAAAACCCGAGCTAAGAGAGGAATTCGAGCGGGAAAAGAACAACTGGCTCCCCCGAACCGACACGGCTGAGCACAGACAACTAGACCGGAGAAAGCCTGGTATTTTCAAATTGGAGGCGGAGGGGGACCAAATGACAGCGTTGTGCTCCAAAACTTACTGCCTCTACGACAGTCAGAGTGACACGGTAAAATTTAGCTGCAAGGGGCTAAATAAAAATCAATTTGAAAATCCAATGGAACTGTATAAGAAAGTGTTGGACACCAACGAAGCCCAGTCGGGAGTCAATATTGGATTCAGGATGATGCAAAATCGAATGCATACGTACCATCAAGAACGTCTGGGCTTCAGTAATTTCTATTGTAAAAGGAAGCTAAATCCAGATGGCAGCACAGAACCTCTTGACATAACCCTTACCCCGTCACAATGAACATTTTATATGTTTGGTAAATCAAACCGAATTAATTTGTGAAGAACTGCGTTGTATTGTTTTGTTGTATTGTAAATGCATTGTGTTGATTGCATTGCATTATAATTCAAATGTAGAATACAACCCGCTACTTGCATGTCAATAGGTTGACGCATTTCACGATGATACATTCCAGTGAAACAGTTAAAATGTTCCAAATTGATAAAAGTAATTGGATATTTGGGACCTGCAAACCTAAAATACGGGAATGGATTTTGAAAAATGTGAATAAATTAGCGTTCTCTCTATTAGAGTTTAACACAGGATCTGTCATTGGAACGATGCTTTCCGTATATTTACGAAACTTAAAATTATTTTAGAAGAAAATAATGATGAATTTGGGAAATACTAAGTGATTTTTGGGAATATAACAAAAAAAAAATTGAAATTGCTAATAAAACAAAGTTTGAAAACTATCACGTATCGATGTACATCCTTGTTGTTGTAAATTATAATTAATTTTTATTGCAAAAGGAGTCTGACTTCAGATGGATGCACCGAACCTTTGAATATAACCCTTATCCCGCCATAATGAACGTTTGTTTGATTTATAAATCAATATGAACTGAATTGTGAAATACTACATTGTATTGTATTTTTGAATTGTTACTATATTGTAAATGCATTGCATTGTAATTGTAATGTATAGAATACAACCCACTATTTATCAATAGATTGACATTTGGAACCTTCAAACATAAATTGGGGAATAAATTTTGAAAAACGTGAACAAAATGGCATTCTCTCTATTAACATTTAACACGGGATTTGTCATTGAAACGAAGCAGTTCCTATATTTACGAAAAATAAAATTATTTTAGGAGAAGATTGTGATTAATTAGGGAAATGCAATCTGAATTTGGGAATTTTAAGTAACTAGTATGTCAACTTTGAATACTCTCCCGCATCGATGTACATCTATGTTACTGTAAACAATAATTTGAATATTTATGTAAATAAAAATAATGTATATATTAAAATGTTACTAACTTTGGTGTTCAGTTGAATTTATCCTAGCTAGGTAAAGCATGTCTAGTAGCGAAGAGAAACTAGAAAACATGAATAAGCGTGAAAATAAAAGCTCAATGCTCGATAAAAAATTGAAAATAAATTCAAAATCTTCAAACAAGAGATCCCTCGCGAAAAGTAGCGATGCAAAACCGTTGTCAAAAGTCAAACGATCCATGCTTAAACGTATTTATTACGACGGAGAAGATGCCGGGTCTTACGCCGGCTTCGATCAAGTTTGGCGCAGAATTAAAGACCGTGGTATTTCGAGAAAACAATTGAAATCGTGGTTGAGTGAACAAGATGCCTATACTTTGTTTAGAAAGACTAGAACTCGTTATAAGCGTAGGAAAGTGGAAGTTCGCTCCATAGACGAACAATGGGATTCGGATCTGGCCTCTTTCATAGACCTGGCTGAATTTAACGATGGCTATCGCTATCTGGATATTTTCATTGACACCTTGAGCAAATATCTCTTCGTGGAGCCTCTTAGAAATAAAACCGGGGCTGAAATGGTAGGAGCCATGCGCCGGGTATTCCAAAATGGACGCAAACCAACGCGCCTGCGTACCGATCAAGGTATGTCATGGAACATGGAACAAACCATCTCATTCATGGAGAACTGATCGATTTTTGTATTAAATTTTGTTAAATGTTTGAGCCAAATCTTAGATAATATCGTCATTTATTCATCATATTTGTGTAGGTACAGAGTACACGAATGCCAAAGTCAAGCGTTTTCTAAACGATCAAAATGTATGGCACTTCACCACGAGGTCAGATACGAAAGCAAATTTCGCGGGTGAGTACACTCCCATTTATCAACTTAGCAATGGAAACATTTTTTGAATTTTTACAAAAATCCGCTTATGTTTGGCGTTTCAAAGAATGGGCATTTCTACGTTCTAGAGAGGGTCATTAGGACGATCAAGGATAAGATCTTCAGAATGCTCTATCACAGAGGGAACAAACGCTACATAGACGATTTGCCCTCTCTAGTGGAATCCTACAACAAAGCTTACCACCGCACCATCAAAATGTCCCCGGAGTCGGTGAACAACGACAACGAATTTCAAGTATGGCTGAATATTTACATGAAGGGTAAAAAACAAGATGAAGGGGTGCCTCGCTTCAAGTTTAATGTTGGGGATTTGGTGCGTCTGTCGAGGTCGCGGGCAATATTCGACCGGGGATTCGATCAGAAATGGTCAGTGGAATACTTCAAAGTGAAGGACAGGCGCCCGACTAATCCTCCCGTCTATTCCCTGGAAGACATGGCCGATGAACCGATAGAGGGCATGGTTTACGAGGACGAACTACAAAGAATCAGGAATCCTTCCGACGTTCACAGGGTGGAGGCCATCTTGAAAAGGCGCCGGCGCGGAGGTCGACACGAGGTTCTCGTCAAGTGGGCCGGCTGGCCTAATAAGGTATACTCCCCTCCACAAGTTTGGCAACCGGAAGTATCTTTTCGGATACCTTATCCTATTTATGTTTAGTGATCTTGGAAATTGATAAAACTTGTCATGAATTTTCGATCTATTAAGGAACGAAATTAAAATCCAAACAAAGAAAGACTTTATAAGCTTTCCAAAATGAGACTTCCGGTTGCCAAACTAATGAAGGGGAGTGTAAGTGTACACATCTCAGTCCTAGTCAGCGAAGTTGTTACTACTAAAAATGGAATAAAATATAAGGTATGCGCATTTATTTTCAGTTCAATACTTGGATTAACGCGGATGAGGTTAAAGATTTATAAGGACTCGTCTAGATTGTAAGAAATGGCTGACTGGTGGCTTAGTGAAAGTGTACTACCCTTCCAAGCGTGCAGCTCCATAAACGTAACCGGAAGTACGTGTTCCGGCAAATCTACCTTCGTGTACAAGCTGCTGAAGAATAAAAATGGAGTATTCACTCAACCGGTAGGCAAGATCATGTACTGCTACGGCATTGATCAACCTTTATACGAGACGATGGAGAGAGAAATTCCCGATTTGGTACTTCACTCCGGGCTACCTACGGAAGAGGAATTGGAAGATTTCACCAAAGACAGGGATCATTCGGTTATTGTATTGGACGATCTTCAACAAGATGTGTTGAAAAGTGAACGCATGTCCCTTCTTTTCACCATGGGCACGCATCACCGCTGTATTACCGTCATCTTTATCACCCAGAATCTCTTCGGCCAAGGTAAAAATGCCCGTACGATAGCCCTTAATACGGGCTACACCGTGGCTTTCGGCAATGTACGCGGTGCCGACCAGATAGCTCATTTAGCTAGACAATTATTCCCGGGAAGGTCGCGGATCATGATAGACGCCTTCGCCGATGCAACCAGAGCCCCCTATGGATATTTAGTGATAGATACGACGCCTAAAAGTGAACCGGAAACGAGGCTGCGCACGCACATATTCCCGGGAGAGGATGTGGTGATCTACCCTACATTATCATAAAAACAGTTGTGCTACGTGGAATCTGCCAGTTAAATATGCGTTACCGGATGAGTCGGATGAGAACGGCGGACTACCTGGGACTGTCTTACTTCCTGTTGAGTAAATACTTTTATTTGCTTTTGTTTCTTAGATGGAGATGAAACATGAATAGTAGAAAAACTGTGATGATCCCCTTTGAACGTTATCAAAGGCTTTTACGAAATTCCGACCGAGATAGCAAACAAGAAGAAGAACAGATTAGCGTTACTACTAAAGAAAGCAACGAGGAACCATTGGGGAATAAATTAAGTGATACAGCCTCGAAACTATCGGGTTCCAAGACATTGGACATTGATAAAGCTGATACTGAAAAGGATTCTGTAGCTTTACCCAAAAGAAAGGAGACCGTCATCATTCCGCCTGGTATACCCGATAGGACGAAGAAACGAAAATCGACGAAACCTAGGGACGTGACCGTCCCATTGAAAAAAGGAAAACGAGATCCAATTACTTCTCAAAGGGGCAGGGGCGCGGTAGCAGTCGCAGCATCGAATAGTAAAACCAAGTGGATATCGCTCTAATTCGATATGAGTCGACTGATAAATGAACATAAAGTCTATCTGGAACTATTGGCTAAAACTAAGTCGAAGTCCCAGCGGAGTGCGTTGATTAGGACAATCTACCCGGGACAATTAAAGGCCTTAATGGAACTGATTTTGAATGTTCTAGCTGGAAATGTGATCATCTCCAGAAAGGAGAGAATGGATCTTTTAAAATTTAGGGCCACGCTCGAATTTATGGCTGACACTAACATTCCAAATAAGCAGAAAATACAGAGACTGTTGAAAAAATCCAAAGGCATCGTTGTATTGCTTAACATTGCTCTGATGAAAGCGTTAGCTCTTTTATAGGGGTTGTAAAATAAATGTAATAAAATAAGAATAAACTACTTCATACATTCGTGATAATTTATTTGTTACTTCGTTGATTAAATGAGAGTACATAATCTAGACAGTGGTAAATAGGAATAACTACATGCGTTACATAAAATATGTGCGCTTATATGATAGTGAACATCAAATAAAAGTAAAATTACGAGAAAAACATTAAGGTAGTTCCGCATTATGAACAATTAAGGTAGTTCTGCATCATGAAAAATACAATAAAATATCAAGGTAGTCATATTTTACAAAATACATCATTCGAAATGAATTTAATAAGTTCAATTGAATGAGAAATCAAATGATTTATTCCAAAGTTTTTCAATAGTGTGTGCGAAAGTGCGGAACTACCTTAAATTGACGAGAAATCGTTTTACAAGTCCATAGTTTTATATTTGAACCATCGACGGACAGTTCTCACCACCAATTGATCGTTCATTAATGTGTCTCTGCTGAACCTATTTACGATGCTATCGAAGGAATGACCTCGACTGCGCAAGAATGCGAAAAACAAGCAATAATATCCACAAGTTTGAGTGTTCGAAGGTTGCAGTTGAAAGGGTACTGTCGTTAACTTCTCTCCTCGGGAATTGTCCGTCGCGAACCGCTGAAAATCTGGGCCATAGTGCTCGGGTTTCCTGCCCAGAGAGTCGAAAAACTCTAACGAATTTTGGTCTTTATTGAACACGACCCAGTGTAAGCCCGCGTGACTTTTAGGCGCTGTGTTGGCGACTATCAGTACCCTACTGTTTCCGAAATTAGTGGCGGGCAATTCGTCACTGGCCACTACTCCTCCGTAAATTCGTTTAGTATACGGATCGGTGGTTAACATCCTATGCAATGTGAAGCTGTACATGGTTCTGTCAATTCACGATAATATTTCTCGAGGCGTCCACTTCGAAGATTTGAGGAAAACTTCCGCATACGACGAGGTTGACTGGCTCTGAAAGGGCCTCTTCGAAATGCCCCTCCACTTTCACGTTGGCTCTTCTTATCAAGGGCAATGTTTCGTCAACAGATTTGACACTGTCCGAGTATTGAATGTCGAACCTATAGAATGCAAAACCTGTCCCAAACTCCATGCGTGATAAGTCAAGTGGAACATCGGGATCCGCGAATAATCTTAAATATTCTCGAATGTAGTTGCTCTTCCTACTGTTCGTAGCGTCGAAACGTGGTGTCAGGGGTTTCTCGGGAACGCTCTGATCGTCCAGCCTAACGTCCAAATACTTGAGACCGAATGCCTGCGCGTTGAAGGGATTCTTCTTAAAACTTCCACTTTGGGCTTGAGCACTGACCAGGAAACATACGAGCCTAGTGGGAACTGCCCCGTTATAGATGTCGTTGAAGTTGAATTGAAGTTGGCCAGCGGGTATAGTGTAACATTTAAAGTCGTTTTTCTCGTAGGAATAAATGGCGTTCTTCTCGTGTAAATGTTTATCGTAAGACTGTAATATTCCCGGGGATACTGATACCATGGCCATCCTGAGATAGACATCCACGAGTTCCACTTTGTAGATGGTATCCGAGTCTGACATCAGTCTAAAGGCATCCGATGTAGGCGTCAACTTCACTTTCACTTCGATTCCATTGAGTAAAAACTTTTCCATTTGAAAGATGTCTTCCAGCAAAGGTCCCTCCATGTCCACAATTTTACCCTCGTTGCTTTCATCCCATCTGGTCACCAAGCCCCTGGGTGCGTCTAATCCAGTTACATCGGTTCCATCCATGACGTTCCGTCCGCCGAAACAACTATCCTTATAGTACAGCGCGGCGGACAGTTTCCCTTCTTGCTCCTGTTTCGTGGTGTACAACAACGTTTTAGATAAGCTTTGTACGGGTACATATTGATGGACGTGGGCACGGGACGCTGTTGTAACTGGATCTCCACGTGACCCCATAGAGAATGAAGGAGATTGTTCACAGGACCAAATTTTTCAGTTATCTCGGGTACCGTTCCGTCGGAACGCAAGATACGAGCCTTCACGTAGAGCCTCGAATTTTTCAAATCGATGAGCTGCGAGGAATTATTGGGAATACTAAACTCTACCACGGAATGATCGGTTAATTGTCCAGTGGGCCGAATCTCCACGTAAGAGTAGGCCGTCACGCTACTCTCCGTCGGTGGTTCGCCGAAAAATCTCAAATTATCACTTATAACTTCTTCACTGCCACTCACTTTGAACGCCATCTTTATTTTTTGCTTTTTTCAATTTCTGTCAAAGATATTTTCGTAGCCTTTCTTCCCCTTACGTTGTTGACCGTTCAGTTTTTTCTTCTTACTGACCGCAGCGACTCCAGTATGCTTTCTTTTATTCTTGGTGGTCGCGGGTTGCATCGTTGAAATCTCGTTATGTCTCGCCATCATTTTCTGTTGCTGTAAATCTGAACGCGCTCGTTCGGTGACGGCTTGAATCGGGGAGATCATTTTTACCGGGGCCTGCGCTTCCCTCACAGACGATAGGGGGATGTATCTGGCTTTGTGTTTTCCCCTACCTATCTGAGCCATCACCCGACCCTCCCGACTAGCCCGAATGAACGAGTCCCATTTCTTAGGGTCGTCCACGTAAAGTTCCAATTTCATTTTATTTCCAATTTTTTATATTATAACAGTCGTCTTAAGTGAACCGCGCAAGTCACTGTTCCTTCTCTGAATGACACCGTCTTGTTGTTGTCTCCTCTTATATTTATCTTGATTCTGTCGAAGTGAACTTGATTGATGGGAAAGTACATGGGCCTATCGAACACCCTGTTCGGATTGGATTTGGGAATTCTTCTCAGAATGCACTTTTTCTCGCAGTTCACCACCGATGAATCGGCCAGTTCGCATAATACGTCCAGACAACTCACTTCAGAATCGCAAATGGGATCCTCGGGAAAATTGATTTCGCAAAGGGCTATCTGCCAAAGACCTATCAGATTCAAGTAGCCGGGTAGAACGACCGTGAAGCTATTCGAATTGTTAAAAGGATAATACTGTCTAGAGTCGTTGCTGCTCAAGAAAAAATAATGGTCCGTCTCCATCGTTTTACTCGGACTAAATGAATGAGTTCAAGTGGTGGATGAAATTATAAATATGTAAAGGGACCTTCCAAAATGGACAGGGCCAGGGGGTCAAATAATCATGCAATTTGTTTTCAATACTACTTCATGTTTAAGTCATGGTATTTCGAAATAACAGCATTTCAAACTCTACACTTAATTGAACTTTATTGAATCCTCAAAAGTATCGAATATAGTTTGAAACACTTCATTAAAAATAAACAAATACAATTCTTTTTTATTTTCTGATATAATCACTTTTTATTAATTCCATTTTCATTTACATTTTATTCTGAAATACATTTCTTGCTGTCATAGCAACTGTATTATACGGTCTCAAAATCCTATATTAACCCAATATTAGTGATTGTTCTCTGATGTATCACATATAAATGTTGTTGGCTGAATGTCAATAATAAAACTGCTTTGTGTTTCCAAAGCTTGTGACATCATCAAAACCGAGTGAAGCATTTTCTTGGGATCCGAAAAGTTCTTGCGACAATGGCTGGGATTCGGGTACCTCGTGGCTTTGTCTCTTCGGAGTCACCATCCGGTCTGAATCGTAGGAATCCCCCTTTCTCTTATTGTTCAGAGTATATTTCTGACTAGCTCCCGAATTACCGCTGTCTGTTCCTTTGTCATCGGTTGAAGTAACTAAAAGACACGCAGTGAAAGATTTATATCAAATTCATGTTGAAATACATTACACAATGTTTATGCTATTTAGCGCGTTTCCCCCTACCATACGAACATGCTATTTTAGATGACAGTCATAATATCATGTGATATTAACAAACAGTACCGAATTATAGATACATGTAGTGTACATGTTGTATACAAAACTCACGCAATAAGTGACTTAACTTACCATTTTCTTTGTTTTCTTTCACTGCAGTTAAAATGCAGGCATTTATCTCTCCAATTTTTTCCTTCAACAGCTCGAAGTCTTCCCAGTCGATTTTGATTTCATCCGATTCGTCGCTTTGCTTTCCAGAGGAGGACTGTGTAGCATTTTTTCTCGTTCTCTTCATTTTCATGTATGTGTTTTCGTACCCATCCCGTCCAACGTACACAGTCAATAACTTGTCCAGTTTGATTAACATCTCATCGCCCCCAGCCATCACACATCGAGCGAATTGCGAAAGTGTTGGTATGGCATCCCTGAAGAGAACGTACTGTTTGATGGACAGTAGCACAGACTTGTTGAAGTAACGAAGTTCTGATGTATTTAGTATTCTTTGCTGGAATAGTAAAAATGGTTTGGGATATTTCCCCAATCTAACGTCCACTTTAAATTCACTTCCAAACTCGAATACAGCCAGAGAGTTGATTTCCTGCGCTTCAGTCATTGTAATGTACAGTATACGATGATCTTACTATATTTTCAATTTATTTTACTTTTTTCTGGCTTTTTAAAATGTTTACTGCTAATCGATCAGAGTTGACGATGGTAATGAGGGCTACAGTAAACCTTAACGAAGAACTCAATGTGATCCCTAACACTCAGCCAATGAGACTTGACTTAGTTTTAAACCCACCAATGGTAAAGGGCATTTGGTTTGCTAAGTGTCGGCGTGATCCTTATATATAACAAATGAGTGACTTTGGTACAACATTTACAGTGTTGTACCATATTTTCTAAATGGCTCACTAATCGTCGCCCTCCTTTGTTATCGAGCTAATGAGGCGAGCGGGAGACGTAGGGAGGGAAGAGTGTTGAGCAACATAGCTTGGTACAACGTTGACGTGTGGCTCCCTTAACAAAGGGCGATGCGTAACATACAGAGGTAGAACATCATGGTACAACACCTTAACAATGGGTGTTGAGCAACATAGCTTGGTACAACGTTGACATGTGTCTCCCTTAACAAAGGGCGTTGCGTAACATACAGAGGTAGAACATCATGGTACAACACCTTAACAATGGGGTGTTGCGTAACATACAACGTGGTACAACCTTAGAACAAAGGGGTGTTACGCAACATACAACGTGGTACAACCTTAGAACAACCTTAGAACAAAGGGATTATGTAATGGTACACCGTAGTACAACCTTAGAATGTGGCTCCTTCATTCCCTAATAACTACTACTAGTCTAACTCGCACTCTCACAACAAAGGCACGAATTATCGTTATACCCCGATCAGCATTAAAGTCTACTATCATTTGTATTATGTCCTTGTCTGTCATATCAGGATTTACTTTAATATTGGCCACATATACCATAGCAGATTCTCCTCGTTGAAGGGTTAAGGCTCCTTGCAGTGCAGGTTTTGGTACAGTCCTCGTTTTCACTGCAGTGTTTGCTTTGCGCCTGCCAGCTACCTGCCATCTGTCATTATTCTTGCTTGCCACCATCGCAAAAGATTTGTGGTCATCCAGGCTTACATCAAGACTTGTATTGTGATCTACATCCGGAGTCACAGGCTCAACCACAGAATGCTTGACAGACCTATGAGTATTAATACGATCATTAATACGACGGTTTACACAATCAGCACGTTGAGGATTCACATCCTTAGAATGTTTATCTTCATTACGTTTATCTGGGATTACGACAGGATTAACTGGGCGAAGTACACTTGGTTTCTTATTGGCATTTATACCATTATGATCACTTTGATCAGGGTTTGTTTCAGTAATCTTAACTGCTTTCTCCTTAGTCTTAATAGGGGATGAAGCACATGTGGGTCCCTGAAGTCTTGGACCGAAAAAAGTTCCATTTGTCTTCTGGCCAATGGTTGGTAATGAGGTATTGAGCAATGGCGTATCATGCTCCTCCGAGATGCTCTTTATTAGGGTGTGAATCCTTTGAAATTCTGTCTCAGTCTTTTTTTGGAAAGCATTAAGCTTGGATTCAGCTTGAATCGCTCTGGCTTCCATTTCACTGACCTTTGCTTCAAGTATGATTTAAAATTCAGCGCGTTTGAAATTAGAGCTGAATTCTTTTATTTCTGATTGGTTTAACGTCCTCTGTTATTGAAATCGAACGCGATTTGACATGCGTTCGCTTGAATGGTTATGAGTTTGATATAAAAGGATTCGGTTGAATAGATCAGGCATTCTGCTTGTAGCAAGCCTGCGTTTAGAAATTCTAGAATTTCTAATAATTAGAACTTTTGGTTTGGAATTTGATTTTTCGAGGAGACATACCTTTTGCCCATTCAAAGTCCGAAAACTTTGGTTTGGTTTTAACGGTGTCATGTTGAATTATCAATTTTGAGTGTTCCAAGCTAATTATTTTATTTTGAGAAACTGATATTTAATTTAGAGCGCCTTTTGCTCGATCTATAGATTTAGTACTTCGAATGTACAGTTGTATTGTAATTTAAACAGATTTAAGTTGAAAGGCTTACAAACTGTTATTATTCAAGCGTTTGATTAAAACGTTGAGCTTCATAGCCTTGATGACATTTGATCATCATTTTCTGGTTGTTAGATTTAGATGTATCATTTCGTGACCTACTTATCGGCTTTATGCCTGAAACACTGTTAATTGAGCATCGTAAATTAACAACAAGGGATCGAGTTGATTTTGAATGGGAGTATGGAACTTGGATGTTCCTTGCACAAGTGCAACTCAGCATCGTGGCTGTTATAACATTGACATCGTGGTCGTTATAAAATACCCAGAAACATTGCAAAATAACTCCGTTCTATTTTGTTTCTCCTTATTGTATCATGTATTACTTGCACCTAATAAACGCAGCTGCTAGCTCGCACTTCATCCATAATATAAATGATAGGATATTATGTTGGGTAACGGGTTGAAGGACGTGTTTAATTAAGAAATAATACCCTCTCCTTCAGGGTTTTTTCAACAGCTAATACAATAGTTTTCAATGCATTGTTAAGAGGCTTGTCCTTAATAGGGGCTAATGGGCCTGTAGGCATCTCATCTAATAAGTTTGAGGCAAAGGCAAATAGCTCATACAGGTCGTTAACCAGGAGTTTAAGTTGATTAGGTCCATTTTTTCTGTTTATCAGCTTCAGCTCAGTCTTGAAGTTATAATCTTCCCCATTAAAGAAGTCTATTAGCCTATTTAGTGATGAATTAAAGGCCTCTTTACGAGCATCCAAGATTTCCTCAATGGAACCACATTCAATTAGCTGTTGTATAATGCAGTCTTTAGGTAATGAGCTAATATCAGCCAAAACATCAGCAATTGGCTTTGCCAAGTCCTGTAGCAAAATATTTGCCATCTTCCTAACACATTTCAGATTTTTTTCCACATCAAATATCTCCAAAATGTCAACTCTAAATTTTCTGAAATTTTTAGATTGTATTGCTTATATGTTCATAAACGCCTATCCTTAATATTGTATCCTATTCACAAGTATATCCAACACAAAACGACGTTATTTCAGGAGCTCTAACTACCCTGACTTCTCTGTCATACATACATAATACTTCGGTCCCTAGAGAAGATATATTGTATATCCATCGGGATATTCCCTGTATCCAAAACCTCCCAGTGCATAACCCCTATTTATCCCATACTTGGATGTGTTACAGGTACATAAAGCCGGTTTGTAAAAACTTATATTTTCATCAGCGGGCAGATATAGCTTTACGTCCCGCTCCGAGCGGCCAGATATAGTATATCTGCCCGCTACGTCATAATTGCTGTTCCCGTATTGGTTCTTTTTTGTAACGTTCGCATAGTGTAAACGACAATGGAGAAAAACGCAGACAATATCGATCTGTTTGATGCTTTAATAGGGAAGGAGCAGTATGTCCCGTTCATAATCAAAGATTTGAACAGGAAATTCCGACTAAAATAATTCCACAGTTGGTTGCAAAGTTTCTGAACTGTGGCCAATTGAACAATGTGATTGGTATGGGATAAACAGCCCTCGGGCAGATATATTATATTGGCCTCGGGATAATCCCAATATCCTGAACCTCATATAGGATAATCTCTATATCTCCCTCTGGATGAACCACATATCTGAAACCTCCCAGTAGATAACCCCTATGTATTCCATACCTACCGAGGTAACTCGAGTCCACAGTGGCCTTAGAAGAAGGTAATACCGAGGTGTTAGGTACATAACAGTAGAAATATATCGTGTATCTAGGCAGCTATCGCCAAGGTCTGGAACCGGGTTAGATACAGACTGTATCCATCCTGGTCCCCCCCCCAAGTGAAAGCAATTTACGGTTTGCTCAATTTATGAAATAGAAATTATATTTCAAACGTATGCTATCCATTATCAATTCATTGATCTGATCCAGCGATATCAAGCTGGAAATATGAGTGTGAAAATCTCACAAACTTAAGGGCCCCACATAAAAACTACTTTTTAAGACTAAATAAAGTACCGTTTTTGTTTATGAGAGTGCCCATGTCAAGCTGCGCGCCTTTGTTTCGATCACAAACTGCGTGCCTAAGAACATTGGATCATTTAAGTTGGAGTCTGTATTTTGAAACGTTATTTAAAGACATTTATCCTGCATTGTTTTCTTGTTCAATGCGTTCATTCTGTGACGAATATACTGTGACGGTACGGGCTTCATATAATGCAAATGAATCAGGAAAGGTTGAGGAAATTAAAGATTTCTCCATCTAAAATGTCACTCGACTTTTTGGCAATTAAAAGTCCCTGCCTGCATTTAGTAGTCATATATTGTCATGTGCATAATTTTGAAACCATATCCTAATTATTTCACAAACCCTTTGTTGATTCTGCCATAGTTTCCAATTTGTAAACAGCATTTAGCCTTTTTAATTGGGAACATTTTTGAAATTTCCAAAATGGCTGCCATGTGATTCCAGAATTAACATGAGTGTGACGTGACATCACAGTTGCTCGTTCCTAGGTAACAACAAGATCACAATTGCTTGTTTCTAGATAGCAACAAGATTTTTGATAAAATGGCACAGAATTACCCTGATTAACACCCCATAAATCCGATTTTCAAAGAATATATTTGGAGAAACAATAAAAGGTAAGTGGAATAAATTAGAAGATGGTTTCAAGTTACCACAGAAGTCAATTTGAAACTCAAGAATGCTTTCTTTGACTCATAATCACAAAAAAGTCGAGTGACATTTTAGATGGAGAAAAGCTTAAATATTTTATCTGTTTTCTGTATTGAACAGAAAATATACGCGATCTTATCATTCTATTCTTACCTCATTTGAAAGATGTGATATCGATTGTACTTCGCTGAAGATTTGTGATCTTGAATGTACAGGATTGTTCTGTAATCTTATAAAACTCAAGAAGTTCGGAGCAATTTCTGAAAAGATTTTGTAGACGGCGGCTTCGAAATCATAGTCTCAATGACGTAAGATTATTTGATGAAAAGATTGCATAAATCAACTTTAAACTTAAGTCTAATGTATACTATAATACATTCCTTCCAGTAATAGATGTATTTATATTCCCGTAATGTCATAATGTAACGTAATTTGATGAAGAAGCCGTATTCCATTTTGATAATTTCTAAGAATTACGATGACGTCATATTAGCGGCGTTCAATGATTGGCTATATATTCTCGGAGCGGGGAATTCAAATTGCTTTTGGAACCTAGAAAGCAAACCGGACGGAGCTCAGTTTAAGCCTAATACCTCCACAATCCAGGGTTATTCCCAGATGACCAATCCTCCAGGAATGATTGAAGTGTTTAAAATCCTCCGAGTGTAATTAGGTGAATAACTTGATTACAAGTAATTTAGACGTGAAGAATTCTGGGAACAGTTGCAGAATCTGTAGAAGATAGCCGTAGATGAGGAATTCTGGATCAACTGCAGAATCAGTTATAGATACTTGTGATATCTTATACTTTGAGGTCAATTGCAGAATCATTGCAAGAAAGCTGTTACTGCAGAAGGACCACTGCAGAATCATTGAAAGACAAGTATTATGCTGAACTGACTTTGGGATGCAGATTAGAGGAAGAATACAGATTTTATAATTGCAACTTGTAATCCAATAAGGACTGAGTTGTTTGAAATTGATTGTAAATAAATACCAGAAATATATAAATAATTGTGAATTGTATTATATGAAAATCGAAACTAATTGTTTTGTGCATTTGTGTGAGTTTATGTGATTATACGGTGATAGAAATGATCACATGTTTATATTATCAATTGTGTCATTGAAAGATACCCACAGCCTGTCAACCTTTACACTACCATATACCATCTTTAGGGTTTGACGGCTACAAATTTGGTGGCAGTGGTGACTTTGACACATAGATTGCACACACAATTGACATTAGTATTTCATCATATAAATTTCATAATTTCGTGAGTAGTATATAATGGCTGATTATCAAAAAGGAGAATATCCTCAAGGATTAGAGGGAGAAGAAGAGAGTCCGGAAGTGATTTTCTTCAAAAACAAGGAATTGTTGGAAGAGGACCATAAGCCACATGATATGCTTCAGGAAAGGCCGAAACCTGCAGATTCAGGCATTGACTCAACCATACCATGTACCCCATCTGGCAAATCACAGCTTAGAGAGGGGGTAATATCGAGAAGAAGAATTATGTTTGGCGCTGATACGGGAATAGTCTCAAAGGGGAAGGGGATCCAGTCCATGGTGGGTCGAAGGATGGGAACCGAGGACGCAGACGATATTGGGGAGGATATCGTATTTAATGTTGACATGGATGTCAATACTGATTTTATTTTGGATCATATTAATGATGATGATGTAGACGATATTACTATTAGGAAGGATATCGTAGACGACATTGACTCTGATGTCAATGGTGAAGATGATGATGATGATGAAGATGATGATTATCTTGATGATGAAGGTTCCGCAACAGGTGTTTGCGAGAGAAAAGAGAAAAATGGAGTACCCGACTCAAGAGGGCGGCGAAACCGCAGAGAAGCAGGGGATTTGTCTTCAAGGGAAAATGAAGAAGTTGGACGGAAATATTCCAATAAAGGAAGGGGAATGATGGATATTGCTAAGAGAAGGAGTCTGGGAAGGTCGATGAGTGAAGTTGGCTTTCCGACAGGGGTACGGGCTGTTGACACTAGTCACAATGTATCAGGGCCAATAAATTCAACGGAAATTGTAAGAGAAAAGAGAAAAACTATAAATGAAAAGGAGAAAAAGGATGAAAATATAAACCAGATAGTACAAAATGAAGTAGGTAAGATGAAGCGTGAAATTTTGGCTGCCATGAGTCACACGAATATACAAGAAAATAATGAAGAATCAGTAAAGAATCGCAAATGGGCTGTTAATGAATCAGCACATATTATTAAGGAAGAAATAATACCGACGCGTTTCGATGGAGTCAAGGTTGCATGGAGAGACTGGCTGGTGCAATTTGAGAGATGTGCAAGAGTAAATGGATGGACTGATGATCAGAAAACAGATCATTTAGTAATAAGTCTCGATGGACAGGCACAACAGATGCTGAGTGATGTACACTTTACAACGCTGGATGACTATGACAGCATGATAGATTTCTTAGAATCTAGATTTGACAGTCAAAGTCAACAGGACATATGTAAGGTTGAACTTAAAGTTCGTAGGAAACAGAGCAACGAGTCATTTGCAGAATATGGACAAGCATTGAGTAGATTAATTTCTAGAGCTTATCCAACTTCTGATATCAAACTGAGGGAAGCTATAGCTGTTGAGAAGTTTATTGATGGATTACCAGATATGGACATGCGAAGAACTACATTCAAGAAGGCCAGAGTTAGTCAGGGATGCAGTTTATTTAGCAGCGGAGCTAGAAGCCTTCAGGGTAGCAGAAGGGCAAAGACAGGCATCAAATTTTATGCCAGTGAGACAAATAAATGGCACAACAGATTCAGAACAGCTACAGTCTGAGATTGTCAACCTAAGGCAACAATTGAAACAGGCTAAGGAAACAAATGGAAATCAAGGAAAATGCAGAGTTTGTGGGAATGAGAATCATATATGTCCAGAGTTGGTGTGCTATGGATGTGGGGAGAAGGGGCATTATAAGTCTGATTGTAAAAGTACAATAAATTATTAATAACCTAGACATGGACGACAGAGGAAGAAATCTTGTTTTGAGTCAAATGCGGGACGCATTTGTCTAAGGGGGGAGCAGTGTGACGGTACGGGCTTCATATAATGCAAATGAATCAGGAAAGGTTGAGGAAATTAAATATTTTATCTGTTTTCTGTATTGAACAGAAAATATACGCGATCTTATCATTCTATTCTTACCTCATTTGAAAGATGTGATATCGATTGTACTTCGCTGAAGATTTGTGATCTTGAATGTACAGGATTGTTCTGTAATCTTATAAAACTCAAGAAGTTCGGAGCAATTTCTGAAAAGATTTTGTAGACGGCGGCTTCGAAATCATAGTCTCAATGACGTAAGATTATTTGATGAAAAGATTGCATAAATCAACTTTAAACTTAAGTCTAATGTA